GTGAGGAACGGGAAGAAAGTGAGCCAGTGGCAGGAGACACACAAAAAATGTTTCTGAGTCATAAGAGGGTTAAATAAATATTTTAGTTAAGTCTGACCCACAGCATGGGGAGTGGGTATTTCTCCACATGTTCTGAAATTCCACAATGCCTAATTCTATCTTTTAGTCAAACCATTATGTTCAAAAGTAAGAAAATATATGGGGAAAGAAAAACATTAACATCCTAACATATTAAAAAATAAAATACACTCAGTTACTAGAACTGCTGTTCTTTTCCTCATACTCTTCAGTATTATTACAAGGGCTCACCTAACTGAAGGCTGTTGTGTCCAGGCTCTGAGCTGAGTGTGTTACATATTTTATCTCCTCAAAGTCTTCAAACAACCCTTGGAGGTAAGCAACATAATTTCCTGCATTTGACATATAAGGGGAGCAAGGCATAGTGAGGTCAAATGACTTGGCTAATAAGAGGAACAGCCAAGACTAGAGCCCAGACAGGCTGTCTTGAAGCCCATGCTCTTTAACTATTACACTGTATCACACCATATTACGCTTAGTCATGACTTTCTACTGTTACGATTCAAATCTGTCACTTGACGGTTACCTCCAGGCTGAACAATACATATTTCTCCACTTGAGAGAGGCCTCATGTTTTTTGGTGTGTTACAAAATTACAGATGAAAATGACAAAGACCTACATTTCCCAAAGTTTCTAGATGCAAATTTGCAACAATAATTTTACGTTAATGTAAGCTATGCCCTTAAAAGAGACTTTAACTTTGATGTGTAACAAACTGCATTAAGACGTTAAATCTGTAAGTCATTGTTAAAAAATAGTTTACTTATTTTAAGCAAAGAAAATGTTCTAGTCTTTGATATATGTTCTTAGAAACATGAAAATAAAATTCCTTTCCTCAACTGTCCTTTTCCATTTCACACATATTGATCTTTCCATATGTTTTAAATAACGATGAAATTAATAGGAACTGTTTTTAATAAACCCAAATCATGGTGCTTTTCAAGTCCAAATATTTTGGGGAAGACTGAGGTGAAAAAGCTGCTTAAGCATTAGGAAAAACTAAGAACAACCAAGAACAGCTTTAGAAGGGCAGTTGAAACACGGTGAGGAGCTGGGAAGGCAGCTGTGGAAAGCTATCTGGGGCTGGAGGTGGGAGGGTGCTCCAATCAGGAGGGGTCTGAGGAGGGGGGCCAAGGCCTGAGCCCAGGTCAAACAAGATGGAAGGAGAAACAGAACCAAGGACTGACTGACTGCTTGACCGGCCTGTTAGCTGTGAATCAAGGGGGAAGACATGCCCTGTTGGATGGAATAAGCCAAGCCTTGCCTCTGAATTCTAACAGCCTTTTTTAATGTGTGGCATTGGGCAAAAGTTCTTGATATTTTTTGAACCTTTGTTATTTAAACAATGGGTCATGATATTAATCTAACTGAATTGCAGAGAAGAATCGGTGGGACAACATCATGCAGGTCCCAGTATAGAATCTGGCACTGTGGATGCTGGGGAACTGAAGACCCTCTGCCCCATCCCCATCAGCCCACCAGACACAAAGCAGCTGGGCAGAGGGAAACCAACTGGAAGATCCTTCATAGATAGGCTGGGTAGTCAGTCCCACAAGTCACCCCAAATTTTATTCATAATGTAGAGTTATTTTGAAAGTCCTTATGATCCTACATATTTTTTAAACCAGTAACAGGATCAATTTTTAAAAGAAATTCAGAGTGGAGGAAAAGTTTACAGCTATTTGAAAGCATTTTCTCAATCATACTAATAAACCATAAACTCAAACTGCACAAGTACTTGGGAAAATACTAGTTGATAAGGTCATTGTTTTAGCTATTAAATTATTAAGTTATTAAAATAGCTAAACCTGGTCCAAACAAAAACAGTTGGCTTGGAATGCACTACATTTTGGCTGTTCAGTCTATGTACCATTATTATTTTTTTAAATACAGAAAGGACTACAATTGTTTACATAATGAATTGGCTACCATATTAAATGAAACCATGGTTTCATCTGATTGTATCACAGAACACGGTCTGTGAGACATCTATTTTACAAATAGGTTTAAAAAAAAAATGTCTTCAATTACTATAAGCACCCTTATACCTAGAAAAAAGATTTTTAACATCTTAGAGCTTATTTCCAATTCAACACTTTATTAGTCACTACTGACATAGTTTTGATACCCTCATATTTAGGAAACCATTTGTAAAATGACTATGCCACACCATCACGCTCACAGGGCCCTGGGTCTGGCAGCAGTTTTAAAGGCCAGCAGTGGCCCGTGAGCCATACAGTGAGAGTTGTGCAGACAAGTGTGCCACCTGGAGGTGGAAGAAGGAAATTCACCTTGGATTTTATTTGTAAGACAAAACTAATAAATGTTAGACCATCTTAAATTATTTGCTACTAAGAAATAAGGAAAATTTTTTATAAGGTTCTCTCTGCAAGAACAAAGGCTTTCAGTAGCAGGCTAGTGACTCTTTGAGAGCTTTCACAAGAAGGAAACAAGCTTTGAGATGGTACTAGTCACAGGTGCACAGTTCACCAATTAAAAAATTGAATTTAACTGTATTCTCTACAGTAAGTGCTTCTTGTCTTTTTATAATTAATATAATATCTGTTTTCAGAAGAACACATAAGTTCTGGAACAATCACCATGATCCATTTAGGCATGTGGACCAAAAGTTAAACTAATTATCAGAGACATTTCTTACTTAAATGAGAAAAGTTTCTTTCATTAGAAGGTTTTCTGTGTAATTTTCTTCTGGAAAGAAATAAGGTTTATTTAGAGTAATTCTGTTTGGCAGACAGTCAGGGCTTCTAAAACATATACCAATAATTGTTAAAGTTACAGCAAAACAGCCAATTCTATTAAGCACACATAAAAATTCAAGTATCTAATGGCTAGACAATAAGCTGATTATAAACAGATTTATGGCATCCCTGTTTTGTCTTAGGATTCTGGATATTGGGATCACTGCTAGCAATGGGCCAACACTTAAGATTTACGTATTTTACAATGAACTACAAAAGTTCAAGCTTAACCAAAAACATGGCATATATTAAAATAATTTTAAAATGAAAATGACTTTAAGTATGAAACCTGAAAACTCTCTTTTTCTACACTGTAAAATCATATTTTTTGAAATTATGTTTTGGGTTCTCAAACTCTTATTTCACCTCATGTTGTTTCATTTCCACTCCAACAGCCTTTAAAATAGAAAGGTGATTCTAAATTCACATCCATTTATGTGACTTTCTAGAAAACTCATTCTAGGAATACTGTTTGTTGCTGCTGACTTCTAACTTGTTTTCATTAAATGAGAAAATTCTACAGTTGATTATTATTTCCAAGTAAATTTTTTCCCCTGCAAAATCTTAGCAAAATACCTCTTTAAAGTACTGTGTTGTTAACTAAACCTTTGTCTTTTCTGTCACTGAGGGATTTCGTTATGATCTGTGAGAGTTCATTCTCTTCCTTATTTATATCCCTCAATCTTCCACACACCCTAAGTTGCATCATTCTGTGAAAGATGCTTCCACCTGCAATGATGGCTACAAATATCTGAGCACAGAGTACAAACATTTCTGCTTTCACATCTTATTTCTGCGTTTATTTAGGAAATAAATGAGACTGTGGGTCCAAGTCCAGCCTGTTACATAGAGATGTCCTCTACGCACTGCTGGAATTGGAGCAAGTATGACAAAGACAGCTCAGTAGGACAGTATGGTTATTACTTCAGATAAAAGCTCCATGATGAAAACTCATTGTGTACCAGGGGATGTATTGCAAGAATTTTAAATAGAGCTGAAGCGTCGAGAAGCTTCAAGAAGCATGTTCTGAAGCAACAGAGAAAAACTGGCTAATCTGGAGAATGACCTCTTATATGTATCCTAAGGGTATCAAAAAGGTCTGTGTGTCTCTATTATACATTCAAAGAATTAAAAAAATGCAGACAGGATGACTACTTGGTAGTTCATGAATGATTCAAGGTCACTGATAAGTAGCTACAATTTCAAGGGTAAATTCTGAAACATTCTCCATATCTCTAATTGGTCAAGAAGACCTAGTAATAACATGAAATGCTTTAAAACTTCTTGAATCTTTCCTATTCCTTCTTCCCATTCCCAGTGCTATCATCTTAATTCTCATCATTTTAAAGTTCTATATTCATTTAACCACTTCCTAATTAATCTTTCAGGCCCAACCTCCCACTCTATCCTACCACTGTCACATTTTCAAATCCATCTTCCAAACTGAGTCCAGAATAATCTCTGTGAAGTACAAACCAATCCTATCACTTGCCTGTTGGACATTCATACAGCAAATCAGGCCTCAGAGTTCCTGTTCCCATTGGCAGGGCTCTTCCCAAGGGAGACAGGCCAGGGACTGTCCACATCCTACCCTGCACACCCAGGATCTATAAGAATGGGCTGTTTCTAGCGGCTCCTTTGACCTGTTCCCTTTTTAACCACCCTTTGGAAGAAATTAAGATAACTCCTCATCTAGAAATGTCAGGACACCTAATTTATGAGTGAGGTCTTGTACAAAAACATCCTAACTACTAAAACAATAGTTTTCAAACATTTTTAAATGACCAGAATAATTTTCTTCAAATAATATCTACTGCAGAACACCACCAAAAGTGGTTGAAAGAGCATTTTTGAATTTGACAACATAGGCTGAGGCTAGCTCATCTAGCACTATGTAAGCCACAGAATAAAGTTCAAATTTGGTTGGTGCAATGCAAGGTCCGCAGAGAAAAGAAACAGGGATGTGATGAAATCTGATTTACATTTTTGAAAGACCAATGTGGTTGCTGTGTGTAGAAGAGTTGAAACTACTGAGAATTTTAATGTGCTTGATGTATTTTCATGAACCCTAATTTAACCTACAAAAAGTCATATGCATTTTCCACCTTGTGGGCTTGTGTTTCCACCTTGTGGGCTACCGTGATAACAGAGTCACAGAATACCTGATCCTCGCTGGTTAATCCCAGGTGCATCACAAGGTAAAAATGCACCAGGAAGTCCGAGTTTGGCAGAACATCCTGGCGTCTGGTCATCATGGCACAGATCAGTCTGTAGGCTTGTAGTTTGCCTTCCTTATATTCATTTGGCAACGCTGTCGCCTGCCAAGGAGATGAGTTTAAAGATTTAATCAACTCCAGATGCAGAGCATTTCAACATTTCATTTACTTCTCAGTATTCCATAAGAGTTGTTTATGGAGATGAGGGATACAGTGGCTTTAGTAAGATTCAGCTTGTCTTCAAAATGTGCAGTCTTGGGCAATTACATTTTTTAAACTCAATTTCATAAAGGAAGAGGAAATTGCAATAAAGGAATAAACACATATCCACTTGCCTTAAATAGCCATGATGCAAACATTCTGAGTGGTGGGATCAGGACCGGTGGAGACGGAGAAGACTGGTTATCCAGGCTTATTGCCAGATTATCCCGTATCTAAGTCAGAGAGAGGAGAATTTTAGGAAAGGCCATGCTTAGCTTATCCCAACAATATTTCAATATTGTGTTCCATAGCCAAATAGCTGCTTCTCATTAAATTTCTGTACGTTGAGTAAAAACCTACAACATTTACAATTTTTTCTTTTACTGTGAGATCTACTGTAATTTTGAATTGTGTGTCCCACTTACTGGACATGGTTTTAGATTTAATACAAAACTAGGGCATTGTTTTCCCTAGAGTGTTAATGCCTGGGGAGGTCCTGAATTCTACATGGTAAGGAATGGCTTAACAAGTTATACTATATAAATATAAATCGTTTTTGAAAAACAAAAATAAAAAACAAAAAACTTAATAACCTAGGGTAATCATACATTATAAACAAAAACCAGAATGAAAACTGTATGTATTCTAAGATTCTACCTTTGTAAAAATGTATTTAGCCACAGAAATAAAACTATATATGGGTTATCTCTGTGGGATGATGATGTTAATTTTCTTCTTATATTTTTCTATATTTTTCAAATTTTGTACAATAAAACCAGCATCACTTCTATAAAAGTGTATAGTGAATAGTACCCTATTCCTTTAATGTCCTATAGTAATATTCTCCATATGTACTAAATAACTCTTCTGCATTTATAAAATGACCAAATTGTAAGTTATTACTTACTCTTTGACAATCAAACATACTTTGTCTACACACCTAATCCATGTTCCAGAATACATGAATTCCAACACAGTTTTTATGTTACATGATAAATCAATTTCCCCCATTAGAATAAAAGGTAATGTAGCAGGACATACCTTTGCTAGTTTGTACCAGAGTTCATAGAGATAGCCAAACACTTTGGCGTGAATCTTGGGTGACTGGATATTATTCACATCCCCGAGGATTCCCAAGATTCTTCGCCATAACACAGCAGCAGAGTCTGGGTGCCAACCAGTGAGGTTCCCTCCAGCAATTATACTACAGTCATCGGCAAGGCACTCACTGCTATCTATGGAGAAAAACATGTCTGTAAACACAATCTTGATTTCATCAGTACAATCTTCTCTCTTTAATGCAAACTACCGATGCTTGACAATTTATGTATTCAGAGTAAAATAAGATGAAGATGAAAAGTGTGCAATGGCTGACGATTTGAAAGGATAGAAAAGCTGAGTCAATGAAGAAAGGTCAAATGACTTTGATTCCTTGAACTAAAAGGGCAATAACCTAGAGATGGTAAAACCGTTTCTGGAGATCCTGGGAAGGGAGGGCTTCATTAAACAGGGGAGGGAGGGGAAGGAGGAGAACCTTGGGCAGGATGGGTAGGGAACAGGGCCATGAAAAATAGGTGGCCAGGGAAGACCTCATTGCTGGGGTGACATTTGTGGAGGCTGTTATTAACTCAGGTTTATTGGGGTATAATTTGCTTACAATAAATTTTATCCTTTTTACACTCAAGGAGTTTTCAGAAGTGTATACAATCACGTAACTGTTACCACAAACTGTCATGAAAATTGATACAAGGAATAACCTCATCACTCCAAAAGTGCTCCTTTATAGTAAGTCCCCTCCCTCCCTCTTCTTCGCCCCTTGCAACCACTGCTGTTTTCTGTCCCTATAGTTTTGCCTTTTCCAGAATGTCATATCAATGGAATCCTACAGTATATATTCTTTTAGTCTGGGTGCTGTCACACAGCTTAATGCATCTGAGATCCATCCGTGTGGTTGTTTCTTCTTATTGCAGATGAATATTCCATTTTATGGATGTATCTCACTTTATCCATTCACCTGTTGAAGGACATTTGGATAGTTTCCTGTTTTTAGTGATTATAAATAAGGTTACCATAAACATTTGCTTACAGGTTTTTGTGTGAATGTATGTTTATAGTCCTCTTTTTAAAGACCAGAATCACAAAATGACAGACAGTATTTCTTTGATATTTCTTCCTTTTAGTAGGCCACATCTTCCAGGGGTGCCTGAGAAAGGGGCATGCCCCTACATATCTCGAAGTGTTTGTTCCCTGACTTGTAGTCCACAGTTTGGTTGGGTAGAGAATTCTATGATGGAAATGCTTTGCTCCAATTTTTTTATAGTTTCCTTTGTGATTTTAGCAGCATTCTGATGCTTGAAATTATTTCATGAAAAATTATTAACTCTGCAAAATTTTAGCAGCCTCTTTTTGTACCTAGTGTTCAGAAGCCTCATGAAGTGCCCTGGTATCTATTTCCAGCCACTGTATTTGCCAATTCATTGGTGCTTTCAACTACTGACTTTCAAGTACTGACTTCCATTGACTTGATTTTATTTCTGCTGTCATATTTTTAATATCCAAAAGCTCTTTCTTGTTTTCTGTTCATTTTTATACCCTTGATCCTTGTTTCATGGATGCAATATATTCTTATTTCTCTAAAGATATTAATAGCTTTTAAAAATTTTATTTCTTCCCAGACTACTCCTTTTTTTGCTTTTTCATTCTAAATTTTAAAAAATTTTAGTGTTACATTAATTTCAGGGGTACAAAATAACAATTCCATAATTCTATACATTACTCAGTGCTCATCAACATTAAGTGCACTCTTAATCCCTTTTGTGGGGGGATGGGTGAAACAGACTCCCCCATTTTTTTCAAACTCCTTTTAAGATACGCTCCACCCTACTTCATCCCATATTCTTCTATTTGTCTCATACTTTTCGTATTAGACATCCTCTTCAAATGGCTGGGGATCCTTGGCTATCTGTTCATATTTAAGAATGGTCCACAAAGAGCTGAATGGAAGTGTAGTGCACAGGTATGATCTTTGTTGAGTTTCACCATGTTCTCAGAGAACCTCAGACATACGTATCTTTAGGGTTTTGGGTTTTTTTTTTTTTTTCAGAACTCAAATTCTAGGAAAAAGACTCTCTACTACTCAGAGTATGCAAAATCTTATTTAGTTCCTTTGTTTTCAAGATAGCACCTCTACACTCAGCTCAGTATTGGTGACTCCAGGCCAGAAACCTAATTTATTTGCTCTTCCTTCTGGGATTAAATTCTAACAATCTTTTTTTTTTCAAATTTGAGGGTTTTTTTTATGTTATGTTAATCACCATACATTACATCATTAGTTTTTGATGTAGTGTTCCATGATTCATTGTTTGCATATAACACCCAGTGCTCCATGTAGAATGCGCCCTCTTTAATACCCATCACCAGGCCAACCCATCCTCCCACCCTCTCTTAAACAGACTTACAGTCTTCCTGGTTTTACCTCCTGCTTCTATAGCTACCACTTATGGACAATTTTCTAACCCTTTTAGGGAAACTGCAGTAACTGTAGTCAGGTTGCTTCTTGGCTTTCCCTTGTACTGACACAGGATTCGGTGTTCTCAGGTCTGCCAATGCCTTGGTCACGTTGGTCACTACTGTCTTTTTTCCTGCCATCCTTGTCCTTGTGGATTTATGTCTAACTTAACATTAGGCAAATGTCTAATTTAACATCCCCTATTGCTAACACCTTATGTAAGTATGGTACATCTACTATGATTAATGAACCAATGTTGAAACATTGTTATGTAAAGTCCATACTTCATTTAGATCTCTTTAGTTTTTAACCTAGTATCTTTTTTTTTCCTGTTCCAAGAGTCCATCCAGGATACCACATTATATTTAATTTCATGTTTCCTTCACCTCCTCTTGGCTCTGTCCTTGTTTTTGATGACCTTAACTGTTTTGAGGAGAACTGATCAGGTATTTCGTAGAATGTTGTTCAACTGGGATTTGTCTGCAGTCTTTCTCATGATAGGTTTTTTTTCATCATATTATTATTCTTTGTTTTCACATTTCTGAAGTGAACTTCTCTTAGCTCTGATGTATGTATGATGTTTTCCCAATATTTTGGACTTCATTTGCTAATACTTTATTTAGTTTAGTGTATTTGTTATGTTTTTTCAATTTAATTTTATTTTATTATGTTACGTTAGTCACCACACATCATTAGTTTTTGATGTAGTGTTCATGATTCATTGTTTTCGTATAACACCCAGTGCTCCATGCAGTACATGCCCTCCTTAATACCCATCACCAGGCTAACACATCCCCCCACCCCCTCCCCTCTAACACCCTCAGTTTGTTTCTCAGAGTCCATAGTTTCTCATGGTTCATCTCTCCCCCCGATTTCCCCCCTCCTTCATTTTTCCCT